AATAACACATTTTGACAGTAAGTATGTGTAGCAGTACCACATTTACGGTGAAGTTAAGGGGCGTATATTTAGGTATTATTATACGTGTCCTTTTTACACTAAAAGCTAAATGCCAGTTTTAATGCAGTAACTGTATTCACAGCAGACATTTTAAAGTCAAAACATATATATTTTACAAGAAAAATAAAGACGTCTCCCTCAAATATAAACGTCCCCTCAAAAAGCTTTCTCAACAATAAACACCTTGGGGCCTTATTCAAATAATGGTAAATCACATTGTAATAAAATTCTGAGCTGAAAAGCAGGCTCTGTAGGGGAAAAGAATTGATATGTTGTAATTTCTAGACCTGGCTTGAAAATTTAATGGCAACATATGCTAAAATTTCCATAGCCGTAGATGTATTTAATAATTTTTTCTTGTGTTTATACATTATAGAATATTTTCCTCAGTTTAAATAAGAAATGAATCCAATATTAAATGCATATGCGTATCTACAATAATCAATATATTTTTACTGTACATACACTATGAGTACATGCTGTCTCTTATACACATCTAGATGTGTTTAAGAGACAGGCAATGACCCCAAAGGAAAACGAGGGCAAACGTATTGGCCAGTTGTCCGCCTTTGCCTTATGTACTGGTAAGTGTATGCTATTTTATTGTAATTTATACATGTATGTTATATTAATATATCTCAATTTATTGACTATTTATGTTTGCTTGCTTTTTACAGTCTATTTATTTTTTAACTTCGCCTTTTGCTTTCTTTTTTTTTATGAATCTTTAGTTTGTAACTTTATGTTTAAATTTTCATTCAGTTGGTCAGTTTTTGAAAAATCTGAATTGGGATATTTTCCTTTAAATGATCCTCATGTTCACACCCTACTCTGGATCGCCACCAAAATTTTATCATTTTTTCATTTGGGACATGCAAACTAATTTTATGGAAAGTTTTATTTAGATCCATTGATAAGTTTTATTAGATATTTAGTTCTGGGGTGTTATAAATTAGATGACCCTCAAATTTACACCCTAAACTGGATCATCATCAAAACATAATAATTTTTTCCTTGTAACTTAGTTAACTTTTCTAAAAGTTTCATTCAGATCAGTTAATCCATTTTTGAAATATTTAATGTGGGATGTTTGCCTTTAAATCCCTCACATTGACACCACACTCTGGATTGTCACTAAATTTTAAGAGGCACATATTTGGTGTATGGTCTGTGGTTGGACAAAGTTTGAAAACATCCAAGCATGGAAAGAAAAAAAAATCAGAACAACATCAATGGCTTTTCCTGCTACTGCTAGAAAAAACAATTATGTTACTTGGTAGCGGTTTCAAAGAATCATTAGTATTCATCAGTTCAATAAGCCAGTTCGTGGTTGGAGCTGCGCATGCTCGTATCCAAGGTTGATTGAGGTCAATCAACATAGAACTATGTCGCGTTCTTTTGTCTTTGTTTCTTGAGACGGTTTTCTGTGGAAGGTGCTATATAAATATATGACCATTGACCATTGGTGAAAATCCCAAAATGGAAAGCAGATTTAAGTCAAAATAGTTTTTTTATATAAAATATTTAATGAAAATTTCCCAGTCCTTCAACAATTGAAATTCTAGTAATAGCCATCTGAGTTTTTTGACTCGCATTACTACCAACTGTAGCTCAGAGGATTTGCAAACATCTAACCAATAAGATTGTACTACAATAAAGTTAATTGAAATTCAACCCTGGTACCCTTTTTAAGGTCAACAATGATATTTAAATACCATATTTATTCGACTAAATGCCCCCCCCCCCAGAAGCCTCATTTGAAATAAACTCCTCCCTTGAATAAAAGTCCTGAGGTCTTTTTAATTTTTCCTCAATAAATGGCCCCTAAATAACTAATCAAATCTAATAAAAGCAACATCATTCTCAGCACATTCTATTAACGTTCTACTCAAGTAGAATTACATTTTTTTTAACCTGATTCGGATCATAGTCTTTATGATCACGCAATAACACATTTTGACAGTAAGTATGTGTAGCAGTACCACATTTACGGTGAAGTTAAGGGGCGTATATTTAGGTATTATTATACGTGTCCTTTTTACACTAAAAGCTAAATGCCAGTTTTAATGCAGTAACTGTATTCACAGCAGACATTTTAAAGTCAAAACATATATATTTTACAAGAAAAATAAAGACGTCTCCCTCAAATATAAACGTCCCCTCAAAAAGCTTTCTCAACAATAAACACCTTGGGGCCTTATTCAAATAATGGTAAATCACATTGTAATAAAATTCTGAGCTGAAAAGCAGGCTCTGTAGGGGAAAAGAATTGATATGTTGTAATTTCTAGACCTGGCTTGAAAATTTAATGGCAACATATGCTAAAATTTCCATAGCCGTAGATGTATTTAATAATTTTTTCTTGTGTTTATACATTATAGAATATTTTCCTCAGTTTAAATAAGAAATGAATCCAATATTAAATGCATATGCGTATCTACAATAATCAATATATTTTTACTGTACATACACTATGAGTACATGTACAATTTTTAGTAATTAGTTTTAATTTATTTGTACAAGGAAGGTGCATAACAATTTTATGTATTATGGGTACATTTTAATGGTTGTGAGAAAAGCATTGCATCGTTAAAGCATGAATGAATTATTTTGTCATAAAAACAGCCTTTTAAACTTATAACAAAGAAATTGTCATAGAAACTTACTGTACATTGTTCATGATAATAAAAATAATAGGCGCTGCTGTAGCAATGCCCATAAAGATAATATATTTTGATTTACTTTATACTTCAAAATATATTTTTCAGAATGTTATATTTTTTTATATTTTCTTCCCTAGGAATGTCTCTTGGACCCCTTCTGAATGCTGTCATCAACATTGACCCCAGTATTGTGGTGACTGCCCTCATGGGCACTGTCGTGATATTCGTCAGTCTCAGCCTGTGTGCCCTTTACACCCAGCAACGATACTGGCTCTTCATTGGAGGTAAAGTAACTTTTCATCTCTAGCAGGGCTTTATTCTGATTGGTCAATATCATCTAGCTTTAGAAAATACTATCTCATAGATGGAACGTCTGGCCTTACTAGCTACAATACTTTATATTACCTCTATCTGACCCACCATCATAATCATTGTTAAGTATACCTAACAGTCCTCGCTTATTCAAAATGTGTTGGCAATTGAAATAGATATTGAGCCTAGCAGTGCCGTCCAGTCTTACAATTGAAACAGTTTTACATTGGTCTATGAATATTTATGAGGCTTCATAGTGTATTATTGATAAGGCATTCCAATTTGGCATACAGAACAATGTATGCACATTGATGACTACATTTTATCTTTGTAGATTCCAAACCCATATGAAACTTGTAGGCCATTAGTATTCAAGATATTTTATATTTAAACGAATATTTTTTACTTGTCACAAAGTTTTTAAACCATAATGTCTGTGCTCTAAACATAGCTCATGTTTTTAGCATCAAATTTTGATTTATAGTTGTTGTGACACTTGACAATTCTAATGTGATTGTTTAATCCAAAAGTGTTCTTATGTTTAAAAAAAAACATCCCTCCTATCCCTTATAATCACTGCGTTGGTCTGATTAGTGTAATTAATAGTTTCAGATAGGGAGACTGGATGAGAGATGATAAATAGAATTTACAAGTCAAAATGTTGCGAAAATTATATTGAAGTTTCTTTCTTGTATCTTCATAGGAAGCCTTATGTCTATGCTGTCCATGATGCTGGTGTTGAGCATCCTCAACCTGTTCCTTCGCTCGGCCATCATCTTCAGGGTAATAATACTACCACCGATAATTTCACCATAATACAGCTAAGCTACTTGGCTCAAATAAACTAGTAGCAGGTAGCTCTAGTGTAGGCTTTCGTTTGCGATCGCGCAACTACAAGCAGCTAGGTAGAGCTAATTGTTAGTGCACATGGTACATGTACAGACTAGAGTTACTGGGCTACTATAATTGTCACATGACCATTCAATCACTTGTCCGTTCTCTGTTGAACATGAGCAGCTGGGTGTAACTGATAACGGCTGGCCATTTTCAGTTACTCAAGAGGACTTCTGAATAGTCTAAATCCTAAACTCCAATGTGGGTTTATACTTGTTAGTTAGAATATAATCATAATAATAGTGAGGTGGATTTAAAAAGATAAAAGTTTAAGGTTATGATACACTATGGGATGGAAAGGACTTGACACTTATTGATATTGAATAATTATTATTTTATAATTATTAGCATTTGTGATTGTTTTTCTTTTCTTTTTGAAGTTTGAGATGTATTTTGGTCTTTTCGTGTTCTGTGGGTTTGTGCTTTTTGATACCCAACTGATTATTGAGAAGAAACGCAACGGGGACAATGATTTTGTCTGGTATGCAAAAAAATCTTATTTGAATTTTTAGATACAGATAGGAAGTGATGTGTGTGATCAATATGTTTATGACTGAATTGCGATGATAATGGCAATTAGTGGGAGCAGTTGCATTTTGATTTCTCAACCTCGAGGTCGTGGCTCAAAACCTAGCTGTGCATTCTGCTTGTCTCCTTGGACAAGGCATTTTACCATCAGTGGCGTATCTAGCAGTATTAAAATGGGGGGGGGGGCGCGCACGACCA